GCCCCCAGCAGGAGATGGTTGTGGACCTGTTGGAGCAAGACCAGAGGAGGCCACAGAGCTGCTCCAAGGGCTGGAGCCCCTCAGCTCTGGAGCCAGGCTGGGAGAGCTGGGGGGGTTCACCTGGAGAAGAGAAGGGAGAGCTGAGAGCCCCTTCCAGGGCCTGAAGGGGTTCTAGGAGAGCTGGGGAGGGACTGGGGACAAAGGATGGAGGGACAGGACAAGGGGGAATGGCTTCCCACCGGGAAAGTGGAGATTTAGATGGGAAATTGGGAAGAAATTGTTGGCTGTGAGGGTGTTGAGGGGCTGGGTTGGAATTCCCAGAGAAGCTGCGGCTGCCCCAGCCCTGGAAGCATCCAAGGCCAGGAACCTGGATTAGTGGAAGGTGACTCTGCCCGTTGCAGGGGGTGGAATTGGATGGGCTTTAAGTTCCTTTCCAACCCAAACCATTCCATGATCCTTTGTGCTGGTTGAGATGGGATATTGGGAAGGAATTCTCCCCTGGGAGGGTGGGGAGGCCCTGGCACAGGTTGCCCAGAGAAGCTGTGGCTGCCCCTGGATCCCTGGAAGTGTCCAAGGCCAGGTTGGAGTAACCTGGGTAGTGGAAGGTGTCCCTGCCCAGGGCAGGGGGTGGCACTGGATGGGCTTTAAGGTCCCTTCCAACCCAAACCATTCCAGGATTTAGATGAGTTTTGGGGCTGTTTTGACCTAGTCCTGGGTGCAGCTGAGGGACCTTGGGCTGCCCAGCTTGGGCCAGGGGCTGGAGCTGAGGCTGGCTGACGGTCAGGCACTGATGCAGCTTAACAAAATCACTGCCTGGATCTCTGCAGGCCCCAGGTCCAGTTTTTTGACCATAAATCCTACCCAAAATCTCCCTAAGTCCCTTTTCTCTGCTCTGGCTGCTTGCACAGTCCCATGTGTTTGTTTATGGACTCCTTCTTACCCCCAAACACCAACAAATCCTATTTAAGCTCCTCTTTGTTCTTCGGGGTGGAGGAGGGAGGCAAATTTCACCTGTAAAGGTAAAACCCGTGAAGCTGAGTGGCATTTGAGTGGATTTGGGTTCCTGGGCCTGTCGAGCTTGCTGTGCCAGTGATTTCCAATTAATATTCCAGGGAATCCCACATGGAGGAAGAAGCAGCATCTTTTCTCCTGGTTGCACATGGAGCCAACAGAGCACTGCCAGGGCACTCTGAGGGCACCCCTGGGTCCCTCAGAGGGTTTGGGGTGTTCTCCTGCAGCCTCAGGTTCTTATTTTACTGGATTAGTACAGGAAACTTTCCACCTGTAAAGCCCAGAGGGATTTGTGGGGCTTGGGGGGAACTGAAGTGAGAAGTGAATCCCCATCCTCTGGGAATTGGTGGAAAATCCCTCCAGCAGCAGCATCAACCCCCCCCCAAATGGCTGCAAACTCCCAAATTTTGGCTGTTTGTTGATTTGAAGATCCTTGTTGGTCCCGAGCATGAAACAGAGCTGAGTCATCCCCTCCTGAGTTAACGATTGCCCGGGGCCTGTTAATAATTAAACCCCCTAAATAAGGGTTTGAGCCACTCCACAACCACCCCCCAGCTCCTGCAGCATTGCCAGAGCGGGGAAAATATTCAGGAATAAAATATTCAGGAATAAATCCCCTACTATTCCCATCTCCCTCCTGCTCCCTCTGTATCAACAGCATCGCTCCAGAGCGATGTAAATAAAGTTTCAAGTCCTGTTTAAATTTGGATTGTGGGATCTTTTGCACTTGGGATTAAGGTTTTTTTTTACAGCTCTGCCTGCCCCCCCTTATGCCTAGAGGGGCTTGTCCATCATCTGCCCATTATGGTGTTGTTAGGAAAAATAAATGGATATTTAAGGTCGGTTCCTGCCGACTCATCTCTGAGTGCATCTCTCTGCACCCAACAGGAAAAGCATCCGGAAAAGCTCTGCTGCTTCATCATCTCTTTTGCAGAAAGGGAAGCAGAGAATTCAATTTTATTTGCTTGGGAATGAAAAAAAATAAAAGTAAAATTTAAAGGTCTCTGGATTCCTGGTGAAGGGAATTTTATCACAGAGCGGTTTGGGTTGGGAGGGACCTTAAATATCGAGTTCAATTCCCCTGCCATGGGCTGGAATGGCTTAGAATTATTAAAAGATTTAAATTTAAGTGTTTTTAAGGGAATAAAATCATTTTGATCACTCAAGTGGGACTGCAGAGTCTCTGCACCAGCGACTCTCCTGACTCAGGGTCTGAGTGACAGCAAAAATCAGTCCATGGAAAGCAAATCTCTCCTTTCCTGAGTGGATTAAAAGTGTCTTATAGAAGTAACCAGAGAGTTTTATTGCTGTTCCCATCCCTGCAGGCACAAATCTGGGGTTTTTTGGGAAGGAATTGTATGGAATAATTAACCTCTTGCGGAATATTGGGTGTTAATTATGGGGAAATGGTGCTGGGGAGGAACTCAGGATGTTCTGGCCTAGTTTATTCTGTCAGAGATTTGGGGTTTTCTGGGGTTTAGGGAGAAGGAGAGAGCCTGAAATCCCTGGTAAAGCCTGGGATAAACCAAAGTTTTACAGTGAATAATTCCTTTAAATGTGGCCTCAAAAAAGGTGGGAATTGCAGGTGAGGTTGAGCTTTATCTGTGGAGCCGAGGCTTTAATCTGGTTTAAATCTGTTGCTGTGTCACAGCCCAGTTTTGTAGGTAGATACTATTTCTCCCTTGTTCTTTTGCACATTAAATTGAATTCTGAATTAAGAAGTTATTAAGAACTAATTTAACCCCACCAGTGCACAGTCAAACCGGAGAGAAGTTGGAAAACCAAAAAGTCATGGGGACAGGTGGTTTTTTTACATTTTTTTGTTTAATTGATTGTTCTCCTGGTTCATTCTTCAAAAAGGGAAGAAAGGGGGGAGGAAATACATCACACGTCCCCCCAAATGCATTTTTTCCTCAGTGCTTGGTGTTGGGATTTCCTATTCCAAGGAAAAATTGGTGAAAGGAGCTGCTCTGTGCTGGTGACTCTGTTGCTGTTTTCTTCCTTTGCATGGGGGTTCACAGCTCCAGCTTTGAAATTGCTGCTCTTAACCAGCCCCAACACCCCAAAAGTTCATTTTAGAGAACCAGGCTGCAATGATTTCATGTTTCTAAATGAGCATTAAAAGTTCATTTTAGGGCAGCTTTAAAAAATTGGCAGAAATCTGACTTCTTGCCTTGCATGTTGAGCCTGATCACTTGTGGTTAAATTGTGGCCAGAAATGTCATTTTTTGGCACATGTTTCACCTCGTTGTTCATGTGAAGTGTAATAGCCTCAATTTTGGGGATCTGCTGGCTTTTGATGATTGGAAAAGTCTCACCCTTTCAAGTTAGATACTGAAAGGAAAGGGATAAGAGCTCTGCTAAGATGGTAAATCCCAGAATCCCAGAATGGTTTGGGTTGGAAGGGACCTTAAAGACCATCTGCTTTCACTCCCTGCCATGGGCAGGGACACCTTCCACTAGCCCAGGTTGCTCCAACCTGGCCTTGGAGACTTTCAGGGATGGGGCAGCCACAGCTTCTCTGGGAATTCCATCCCAGCCCCTCAACACCCTCCTAAGGAAGAATCCCTTCCCAATATCCCATCTAAACCCAACCTCCTTCAGCCTAAAGCCATTCCCCCTCATCCTGTCACTCCATGCCCTTGTCCAAAGTCCCTTTCCAGCCTTTCTCCAGGCCTCCTGGAGGCACTGGAAGGGGCTCCCACGTCTTTGGGCACAGCCCCGAGTCTCTTATTTCTCCAAACTTTGTTTTATGTTCTCCATTTGACTCCTTGATGAGAAGCAGCACCTTCCTGCCAGGAACTGGGGTTGTTAAACACTTCCCAGGCCATGAACCACAGCACAGATTAGGCCCCTTTTTCTTCCCATCTCTGACCCACAACAAGTCGAGCTGCAGAAACAAGTGGTTCCCCTTGCCTGGGGCTCCCCTTGTCTGGATGCTCCTCTTGTCCCAGGGCTCCCCTCTGGATGCTCCCATTGTTCCAATGCTTCCCTTGTCCAGGGGCTCCCCTTGTCTGGATATTCCCCTTATTTGGGGGCCCCCTGTGTCTGGATTCTTCCCTTGTCCCAGGGGTCCCCATGTTTGGATTCTCTCTTTGTCTGAATAATCCCCTTGTTTGGGGACTCCCTGTGTCCTGGGACTCCCTTTATTTGGGGGCTCCCCTTGTCTGGATCCTTCCCTTGTCCAGGGCTCCCCTTGTCCAGGGCTCCCCTTGTCCCAGGGGTCTCCTTGTCTGGATAGACCCCTTTTTTCATGCTCCTTTGTCCCACGGCTCCCCTTGTCTGGATGTTCCCTTTGTCTGGATAATTCCCTTGTTTAGGGGCTCCCTTTGTCCCAGGGCTCCCCTTTGCTGGATCCTTCCCTTGTCTGGATGCTCCCCTTGTCCAGGGTCCCCTTTGTCTGGATGCTCCCCTTGCATAGATACCCCCCTCGCCCAGAGGTTCCCCTTGGGGGTAGCTGGGGGTCCCTTGTTTGGATACTCCCCTTTCTGGATGCTCCCCTTGTCCATGGGGTCCCATTTCCATCACCACAGACCACCTGCAGACACAACTTTTCCCAGCCCCCCTTTTTGCTCCATTTATCAAACATCCCTTTTACTCTCTTTGCTACATTTTACTCTCTCTAGCACATTTTACACCCTCTAGTCCTACATTTGTCCAACCCCACAAACCCTTCCAGGATCCGTGGGCTCTCCCAGCGTTGTGTTTTCCTCCCCACACCTTTCCTTTCAAACATTAAACCTCCCCGAGCCTGGATATAATTTCCCATTCCTCCTTCCTCCTCACAGGTATTGACAAGGAGGTGTTGCACCCACAGCAAGGCACTACAGGTGACTCCAGACAATTCTGGGCTCCCAGTGATCTCCTGTGGGGAGTTTCTCCCTATTTTGGGCTTCCACTTCACCCTTTGTTGCTGGGTGATTTCAACTCTCTTCCACC